GATTATCATATATCTCTTTGTTAAATTATACTGGAAATAGAACTGTACGTAGAGCTCGTTTTGCATGTGAAGTGTGGGAGAATAATGTTATTTTATTTCTCCTGAATAACCCAAACTATATATTTTGTGTGTGTTTGCTACTTTTGGAACAAGATCGGTTTGTAATTTTGCTCTGATGATTAAAACAAACAAAAAATGAAGAAATTTTCTTAGAACACCGTAATTTTATATTGAGTTGTATATTTCTCTTAATTTTTCATCATTATCGCAAATTAGAGAACCAAAATGTAAAAAGGAGGTTTATCGCCTAAATGAAAACAATATGTTGATATGCTAAAGATATAACTATAAGTTACGTACGATCTAAGTTTAGGTAACCAATGTGATGTGTTTATTAAAACAATTTAAATGAAATTTAGAAAAACGAAACTTCTTTGACTTTTTAATACTAACAAACATCATATGGATTTTTGTAACACAAAAACGAAAAAAATGGTTTCAATTAAAAAAGAACACAACATATAGTATAATTTATTTTCGTAGCATAATAAATTTGCTTGTAAAGCTACGCTAAAAACAAACACAAAAGATCGGCCCCCTAGATCAAATTGATGAATCAGATACCACAAAATTGTAACTGGATTTGTAAGAAAAATATAGCAGTATCGTTAATAATTGTTTTCGAAGCTATATATTCTAAAACTACCACGTTAACCAACAAAACAAGAAAGACTCTCAGATTCTAAACCTTCAAGTTATTAAATTACGTTTTTATCAAGATTAAAACATATAAATTACAAGTCGATAAAAAAACAAGTTGTTAAATTACAAAAGTCAAATTTAACGTGTGAACATATAAGTTCGGTTTGATGTTTCTTGCTTTGAAACAAAGTTTAACCAGCCATCTGGTCATGTACAATGCCAACTTCCATGAATATTCATTGATTATTAAATAAAGTTCTCAACTATCTTCAGGAAATTCACTTTGAGTTGCCAAGTATTTTATTGGGCATATAGTTTCCAAGAAAACTCACTGTTAATATTTGGTTTAAATTATCTAACACGACTTCACTATTTATACTATATATGTGTTCCCACATGTTTTAAATTTGGTAGATAAATTTAAATCCTCACATTTTCTAGAATTCCTAACAATGTTTTATTATATGACCAGAGTATGCATTTATGTCTAACAACTGATTCTACGATCTTTACTACTCTGTTGATGACATTTTATTTCCTTTGAAACTTCTCATGCCAAAGATATACAAACAAAAAAGTAGTGTTGCAATAGAATATTACGTCTACTGGAAATATTAACCCTTATGCGATCGTCAGTCTTAACACTAATAACTAATACCAATATCCCACGATTTCGAATTGCGTTGACTTATATATGAATAAAACGATATTTTGGAAATTTCATACATTTTCTTTTTCTCCATGCTTGGAATATATATCTACGTTGATAATGCATGTGAATGGGTACATATATATATAATTTTAAAATTTTAAATCATTCATCTTCAGTATTTTGCTGCATTATATCCTTTTAAAAAGTGTAATCAAATACGAACATATGGTGGCTCTACTAACCAAAAAAAAAACTACTTTGACCACTAAGTAGTAATTTTACATACAAAAATGAAATGACAAGATTATGAACCATAACAGTTGCAAGATAATGCGGCAAGAAATAATATTTGAAAAAGACATGCACCTATAAATTTCAAGATGCTATAGTTTTTGTTTTTTCCTCAAATTTTTTTTTTAAATGGAAGCTATTGTTTTTTTGTGTGTGTATACATAGTGTATGTCCTGAAAAATATGGACTTCAAGCATAATAAAGAAAATGAACTAACTAATTAATAAACT